GGCCCCCGCGGGCGCGTGGCTGCGTCCCCCTGCCTGCGGGCTTGCCGACGGGCTTCCGAGTGCCGGAGCCTCGCGCGACTCCGCTGGCTCACGGGCCCTTCCCGGAGGTGTCTCTGCTTTATTTTGTTTGGAGGTGGCTTTCTCCTGGGGTCGCTGGGGCTGAGTATCTTCTCTGCGTTGCTTCTGCAGCCCAGCCTCCTCGCGTCACGGTCTAACTTTTCTGTGGCTTGTTTAACTTGAGATGGGGAGTGAGTACCTACGTACTCACACACACATATAGATGTATAATTATAGAAATACATAGTATCTTCATATATATATACACACACACACACGCACACACACCTATTTACTGGTTTTTCTAAGAGCGCATCTCTCCGGCACTTTCCGTGGGTACCTGTGTCCTTTACCTGTTTGGGATTTGACAAGATCCAGCCTCGTGTGGCTGCAGACTGTGATTGCTTTTCGAATGCATATCGCTTCACAAGAACTGGGTCTCCAGCACTCACGGAGGTAAGTCCGAGACTCACGGCTTTTCCTGCCCTGCTGAAGAAAAAGGTTCCCTTTTAGAAGTTGAGAATTGCATGTTCCTGGTTAATGCAGAATTGCAAGTAGGATTGTTTCCAGTAATAATTACGGATAAACGTGGATACAGAATAGCATGAGAGAAGCTATGATTTCATTGAAGAATGGCTGAAATCAGTAGTTCCAGGGCTGCTTATGTAAAATAATTTCTCTCCCTCCCTCTCTTTTTTTCCTCCCTCCCTCCCTCCCTCTCGCTCTCCCTCTCGCTCTCCCCCTCTCCTCTCTCCAGAGGACTCTCATTTTCTGACTCATTCTGGGTTTGAGGAAATATTTTTTTCTCTTTTCCTTCAGACGGACATCTGAGTAACTGGGGACTTGGCCTGCCTTGCCTACTGAGCTTGACGGAAGGTTGGATATAGATGAGTTGATTATATTCTATGAAGTAATAGCTCACCAGCCAGCCAGGGCTTAAACTACTTTTCAGCATCATTTCACCTGTGGACTCTTCTTAATTTTTCTTTCTTGGTAACAAAACTGGGTAGGAGGAGGTCATTTTTTTTTTTTAAACAAGTTAGCATCCTTTCCTCTTCCTTACAAGTTGATGCAAAGGATAAGGCTGTGACTCCACTGGATTGCACCTTTAAATCAAGATAGGAGAAGAAGAAGAAAGGGACAATGGCTCTGAGTGGAAACTGTAGTCGTTACTATCCTCGGGAACAAGGGGCCGCAGTTCCCAACTCCTTCCCTGAGGTGGTAGAGCTGAATGTCGGGGGTCAAGTGTATTTCACCCGCCATTCCACGTTAATAAGCATCCCTCATTCCCTCCTGTGGAAAATGTTTTCCCCAAAGAGAGACACGGCTAACGATCTAGCCAAGGACTCCAAGGGAAGGTTTTTCATTGACAGAGATGGATTCTTGTTCCGTTACATTTTGGACTATCTCAGGGACAGGCAGGTGGTCCTGCCTGATCACTTTCCAGAAAAAGGAAGACTGAAAAGGGAAGCTGAATACTTCCAGCTCCCAGACTTGGTCAAACTCCTGACCCCCGACGAAATCAAGCAAAGCCCGGATGAATTCTGCCACAGTGACTTTGAAGATGCCTCCCAAGGAAGCGACACGAGAATCTGCCCCCCTTCCTCACTGCTGCCCACCGACCGAAAGTGGGGCTTCATCACTGTGGGCTACAGGGGATCCTGCACTTTGGGCAGAGAGGGACAGGCAGATGCCAAGTTTCGAAGAGTTCCCCGGATTTTGGTTTGTGGAAGGATTTCTTTAGCAAAGGAAGTCTTTGGAGAAACTCTGAATGAAAGCAGAGACCCTGACCGAGCCCCAGAAAGATACACCTCCAGATTTTATCTCAAATTCAAGCATCTGGAAAGGGCTTTTGATATGTTGTCAGAGTGTGGATTCCACATGGTGGCCTGTAACTCCTCGGTGACAGCATCTTTCATCAACCAATATACAGATGACAAGATCTGGTCAAGCTACACTGAATATGTCTTCTACCGTAAGTACAAAGGGCTCTCTTAATTTTTTCATGGGTATGAATTCTCCTCACGGATGTATATGGTCTGTGTGTTTTGTCAATATCTAAGGAGCATGGTTTGAGATTGTTTTAACTCTTGAGTTATAGATAGAATATCAGAGGTTATAATTTAGCTCTCATGTCTTACCTAAGGCAACTTTTATCCATTTTTCCAATGAGGTCACAGACTATTCTAGGCCTCAGAAATCAAAAAAAGCAAATGATATTAGTGTATGTAATATGTGAAATGAAAACAAGCATGCATGTCTTTTTTTTTTGGCCAGATTTTGAATTGTGAAGATAAAGTTGATGATGACAAACTTGGCTATTTGTCCACAGGAGCCTGTGGATTCAGTGGATGAAGTACTGCTGTCTATTCATTTATCTGAACTTCAGGGTCTATTAAGCTGGTTGCTGAAGATGTGCTTTCATCAAGGGCTTTGAAAACACAAATGGATGTTGCACTGAATGACGTGGTCTTGGCTAGATGGCAGTACAGACTGCTGAAAGCCCCCTATCTCCCCCCTAGTCTGAAATTTGCCTTTAAGGGCTTTACAGATCTGTTATTTGATTCTTTAGCATTTTGTACTGAGACTTGAGTTGCACTGCAGACTTAATTAAGCTGAACTTCATTTAAGATCCATCTAAAAGGAACTAGATCCTTGAGAATTGTCGATCATACACAAACACCTTCAGACAGCTGAGGTTATAGCGTTACGGACATAAAAGGAAGCCAGAGGGGGGAGGAAAGGAAACACTTATACCTAAGCCTTTAGAGTAAGGGGTTCTTAGGGGTCAACTCTTTTGCTTAAATGGACTTGTGGTGCAGATTGCTTCATTTTATGAAATGGCATTATTCTAAGCTACTAACTTGGAGCCATTGATCTTCAAAAGGAAAACAGTGAATCAGCCTATATTGTTGGTGATTGATATAACTGCTGATTTTCAACAGGCCTGGGAGTTCTGTAAAGTGAATCTCACAATAAATATATTTCCAGTGTTAACATTTGATTTTTTTTTTCCTATTCTTACTCTAAAGAAAATCCAGAGCTGGAATTAAAGTGTCCACATTTCTTTAAATGTAAAAGTAGGATTGTATTTCTTGAACCATTCCTTCCCCCCCCCCCCCCCCCCACAGTTGTGTTTATTCATTTGGCAGTAGTGCTGGGAATCTTGGTGAAGAGATCAGTGGGAACATGAGTCATTCTTCACTGGGCTACACACCTTTGGTTTTTAGAAGTGAAGATACATGGGTTGCATAGACAGAACAGCCTGTGGAGAAAAATGAGATCAGTTATCAGTTCAGGAGTGCTTTGATGTGTAATGACAAACATTATTTGGTTCAATAATCCTATCTACGGCCTTTATGTATAATCTGTGTCTTCCCCTATGCCAGATCTTAGTCGCCAGATACTGCTTTCTTCCTTTTGGAGAATTTCCCACTAGTGTAGAGATAAGGCTCTGGCTTTTTAGCTTTCTATAAAGGAAAATGTCATTATCTGTGATTCTGAAGAACAAATTATCTTCTCTAAACTTTTTGGGGGAAATGCATCTCAGAGATAGTTCAAATGTAGGTTTGTGGCACTTACCACGTTCTCCAGTTTCTAATACTTATAAACATAGCATCTTAAGAAGCTGCAGCCAAATAAAGGAAAACAGACCAGTTGTACCCTCCAGAAAGACCACACGAGATTTATAGTTACTTGGTCACATAAGTGAGACCCACAGCCTCAAATATACGTGTCTACTAGCTCGGTGGAGTTTCTGTGCTCATCAAAGCTGTGTCCTCTTCAGATTGTTCCAGACAGCTCCATTCTCCTGATATATAATCGCTCCCTTCTTTGTTGGATTGCTGAGAGGTTGCCGAGGAGCAGGTTGCTCTCCATCTCTCAATGGACAGGCTAGTGCAAATGCTCAGGAACTTCATCCTAACAGCATATATCTTGCAAATGATGTACTTCCCTTTTGTCCCCCACATCCAGAGCTAAGTGTTAACTCTTCCCTGTCTTAGGATCAATAAAACCGACAGCTGGCTTTCTAGGGTGCATAACAGCTTCCGTGCAGCTGCTTAGCCGTAATTATTTAATTAGAAGCTGCCAACTGTGCCTATATAAGCATTAATTCATCAAGCTGTTGTGCTTGGGTTAATGGGCCGAAACCATGGGAGGTGCTTGAAAGCAAGGAGTTGATTGCCTGCAAAGATGCTTTTCACCAAGCGACTCCACTTCCTCCTGGGCTTAGGGGGATAAAAATTGTGTGTGTGTGTGTGTGTGTGTGTATGTGTATACATATTATATGTATATATGTGTGTATATGTGTGTATATACCAAAATATACCTGTCGACTATTAATAGGTTAGAATCTTACCTTATTTAAATTTTCATGTGGACCTAGAATTGATGGTCAATGTCAGGTGACTCTGAGTGAGTGTTTTGTTAATGTAGAGCTATGAACAATTAAAAAGTCAACAGGTGTTTGTTGTGTTTAAGAGGGAGGTAAGAAATGTGTTTGTCCACATCGCTCACACACCAAAATATATGTGAGATATTACGAATTGTGATTCACTTATCTGCAACCAAAAGAGTTAATGTGAGTGATACAGGAATATAGAAAAGAAATGTTATTCTAGGATTGCCTCACAAAGTATTTTAGGTGTGTTATTTGTATTTATTTATTTATTTTTCCTTTTATTTCAATAGCTTCAGGGGGTACAAATAGTTTTTGATTACAGTACATGGATACATTGCATAGTGGCAAAGAAGTCTAGGGTTTAAGTGTATCCACCGCCCCCACCTGTGTACATTGTACCTAACCTACTTCCTCCCTCCACCCCTTTCCACTCTCCTCCTTCTGAGGTGTGTATTAGTGCAAGATAATAAGAAGGTATCTTCTCTTTTTCTCCACCCAGTTGGCTAAATAATTACTTTTCTCTTCAAGCATTACATAGAAAGTGATGTCATAAATGTCAGAAAATGCCTTCTTGATTCACCTCTACATAAAATGGGAGCTAAGTAATTTGGAAAAGAGGAGTCCTGATGTTTGAACTAGATACTCAATAACCATTCACGCCACTTAGGAACAAAATCACCAGGTGCATGGAAATAAATGAACCTCTTATTTCTAGAACCATCTTCTGATATCTGAGAGAGTGGGAAGATTGTTTTTGGCTGGAGAGAATTATACACATTTCCTTAAGCCTGCTCATGAGTGAGTGAGTGAGTTACTTCGGATGAATGGCTAAGATTTAAAGGCAATTTCCTCTAATGAAACCACGATTACACAGCTACATGGAGGGAGTTTAATTCATAGGACACTCAACTCCAAGAATATACACTCCGAGTTCTGTGAGTTATGGAAACAGACACTGATTTATTATCTTTTCAACAAATTGCAGCTTGTTATTGCATTTTAACCTTTCTTCTCTTCACTTCATTTCCTTAAATTTGAACAGTTGTTTCCACAAAAGTCTCTAAATTGCTTTTTCTACATAGCATATATCTTCAGGTTGATTAAGATAGGGTGTTGAAAAAAAGTAGATCAAGAAATTATTTTCCACTTAGAATTCAGCTGTGCGACCCTGTATTGTCAAGAAATAATATGATCTGGCCACTGTGAATAATTTAATGAAGATTGTCTTTGAAAGTTTCAGTAAGAAGCTGTGCTTTCATAGGAAAACAGGTGAAATGCATCTATCCTGAAATGATTCTAGCATTTTTTCCTCTTGGCTACTTGAAAGATACCAACCTGTATTAAGCATTCCTTATAGAAAAATCCAAAATTTGAAACGCTCCAAAATTCAATACTTTTTGAACACTGACATAATGTCACAGGTGGAAAACTCTCACACATAAGTACTTAATACAAACTGTTTTATGCGCAAAATTATTTAAAATATTGTGTCAAATTACCTTCAGGCTATCTGTGTAATGTACACATGAAACAAATGGATTTTGTGTTTAGATTTGAGTTTCATTGCCAAGATATGTTAGTATGCATATGCAAACATTCAAAAATCACCCCCCCCCAAAAAAATTTAAACCTGAAACACGTCCAGTGCTAAGCATTTTGATAGGGAGATTAAACTTGTAATAACTTCAATTTTTATCACCCATGGAGATACGATATTCACACATTCAAAAGGAATCATCAGAGATCATGTAGCTGAAACTGTGACGTGTGTGAAGTTTGGTCCTTTCACCACCCACATCTCTTTCTGTGACTTTTTTCTGTCCTCTCACCTCAGATGCTCCTCTTTACTCCTGTTTACGTCACTCCTGCTGTCACGTTTCTTCTCCTCATGACATAAAACTCGTCGTCAGGACATTTCTGCTCTGTCATTATACATAGGATGCTTTCAAAGCATGATGTTACTCTTCCCAGGGGTACCTGTACATAGAACACTTTTAATAGTTGTGAATCAGGCAACCTTTTACCCTGAAGGATGTATTCTTAAGACTGGAAACTTCTTAATTTGTAGTCTAAAACAGAGCAATATATAAGTCTAAGGCTTCATTATGAAGTTCGTTTTGAGTTATGCCCAGGCAGGTATTGGATGGTGACCGTGAAGATAAAGGGCAGGAGTACTGGATGTCACTTTTTCTTATTTAAGCTGTGTGCTGAGAATTGGGATCAGCATAACAGTGACACAAGCATGCTGGTAAAATATTTTATTTTACTGTTTTCACTTTCGTGCCAAACAAGATCTGATACCTGAGCCCAATTCCTTGTGAGAAGCGATTCAATTAGTTTCTTCCTGGGTGTCTGGCATCACCAAATGAATTTGGCAGCAAGAGATGTGCCAGTGTGTGGGCGGGAAGGGGAGGTCTCTGAAGTTGGCCCCATGTGTCTTGATATGTTAATATATATAATATATTAACATATCAAGACACACACACACACACACACACACACATATATATGTTTTGAATGTAGTCAAAGAAATTAGAAATGGAAGCAGCTGAGAATGTGCCACAGAGTTCCAACTGGAACACCTCCAAACACAAAACACAGAAAGGAGCCACTATGCATCAGAGGAGTGCCAGTCCCAGGCACAGAAAGAAGTTCTCCAGAAATCCATAGGCGAATGCTCAGTTTCTGCACCATAACTCACTGTTGCTCTTTTTCTTTGGTCTTTGCTATGATTTTCTCAAATATTGTATTTATTGTCAAGTCAGTCAAAAACAATTATTACAGAAATTTTCAAATGCATCCAAATGTAGAATGCATAACGAACTTTTATGTCACCAATACCCAGCTCTAATACAGTGATCATTATGTGACCAAGCTTGTTTTATCTTTACTTCCCCACTTGTCCACACTGGGTTCTTCTATTCTCTCCATTGTCCAAGTTGATTCTGATGACAACGCAAGCAATAGGAGAGACCCCTCATTTTCTTCCTTGCCATTCAAGATCTAGTATTCTACTTCTACTTTTGTATTATTCTGAGGTACTGTCAGGGGTGCAATGAGCTTACCAAGATGTGCAGTGGGTCCTGTTGACTGTGAGAGGGAATAATTTTGGGTAGGGGATTTTGCCTTCCGCTTATTTCAAAGCAAGCCCCAGATAGCAATCATTTTATTTATCCACAAATACTATAGT